TAACTAGTTGCATTTTACTTGTGCCCTACACAGATAAAAGCAATGACTGTGTGTTGGGCTCCGAGGACAGTCAGAACATAGAGGAACAAAAACTCAAAAACACGGCTGAACCCAACCTACGTTGACACGAATGCAGCAACTGCTCATCCAGTGCCTCCAGTCCAGACTTAGGGTTGTTTACATGTAACGAAAACGTGATATTTCAATGCGTTTGGGCCTTTGGTTTACACATAGATGAAGCTACAAGTCCCCAAAAACGATCATATTTGAAAACTCTGGCCACAGTGGAGATTTGGAAAAACTCCGTCTTTACTTTTGCATGTAGACAGGAGGAGACGGAGTTTGACGTATGCGACAAAAGCGTCAACAGCGTTATATGTGTGCCACCCATGTTGTGATAGATATGGATGTTGTTGAAGCAGTGCTTGTTGTTACATTTGTACAAACCTTTGTTTTGTACTCTAACACCACATTTAGGAGTAGCTCCACTTCTCTGTTGGTCTAAACAAACAATACTCGCGCCATTATCGTTGAAGTAACAGGAAGTAATTTGTGCCATTCGTTGTTGTGTTTCTCCAGGATTCTGATTGGCTAGCATGCCTTTATGCTTCTGGTTACACTGCCCCCTATATGTTTGGCTCATAGCAGCTCTTAGCGACGTGTTTATCCGGGTTTGTGTAAAGAAAGATTCTTTTTTTAAAAATCAGTCTGGTAGAAACATTGTTGTTTTTGAAAACGTAGATCTGTTTTTGTAAATACCTGGCTATATGTAAATGTGACCTTAGAATAGGATTTAAAAAAAAAAAAAAAAAAAGAATCTTATAGGTAAAAGCACTTTTGTTTTTCATTAAATATCAGATGTTTTTAAACTTTGTTGAAGAAAAATTGTGAAGAAAAAAACCCCAATATCTCCTGCATTATTCTGAACCGACTGTATCATTACACCTCTAATGTGACGCAGATGAAATGAACTAAGCAAGAATCATCCAGTCGGCTCTGTCCTCTGAGAACATTAGCTGGACAGATAGCCCGTAATTTTCAGCCTCACAAAGAAAGAAATCAGCCTCCATTCAAAGGAATTCTGCAAGCAAGCGTATACAGCATGACCTGCAGCTTTCTGGATCATTGTGTTCCTTCAGAATTACATATTTTTACCTTTATGGAAACTCTTAGAACACTAATAAAGGGGCAAAGTGTCATTTTCATTCACATTAATGCATGTGGCAACCTCTCCACGACGCCTCTTAACAACCACTCACTGTGCTGGTTCTCCATTTTTCAGTCGATGTTACCAGACAAAACTTGCATCTAAACATGAATGTTTAAGAGCTTTTCCTCAAGTTCTGTGGAAGGATCCATTATCTATCCATTATCTATGCACCTCTTATTATTATTCAGATATCCAGTAGGTTAAATATCAGTCAGTGACAGCTGTAGGTCAATGGGCACATATTTCACATTGGCTGTGCATTACAAAGTTGATTATGAGACTATATCTAACACATCGAGCACATAATCAATAGCCCACACATTTAGATGAGCTGCTGTCACAACTAGCCTCAGATTTACTCATTTCATCTTTGCTTCATTGTATTCCATCCCACAGCTCCTAGGAGAGGAGTGTTAATGAGAAACATTGGCGCAAAGGAGTCACTAAAATGCATTAGCAAAACATTCATGCACAGGCTTCAATCTACTTCAGAGGTTTCAAACCTGAAATGCAAAGAGTCACATGAAGATTAAAGGTTAAGATGGGGAAAAAAGCAACACTTTTGTTTTACATTTTTAAAAAAAATGACACCACTCACACTATATGAGGTACATTTGCTTGAATTTAATGGGTCAAAAGTCAAACAAGCTTGGAAACTAGTTACCTGAGGTGCATGTCTTTGGACAATGAGGTGAAACGGGAGCATTAGAGGAAACCCAAGCTTACTAAATGTCTGGCAGTTAGCTGACACAATACATTTCTGTCATGTTGTTAATAAGGTAAATGTCTTTGTATGTGTCAAAGAGTCACAAAGTGGTTCAAAGACGAAGGGAGACATTCAATGAATAACTGGTTATGCTAAAGCTCCTTAAAGCTATCCTCAATTGAAAAACATGATATGCTTATATTTTGCTTCACTTTGCTGTTCTCTGTTTTTTTTGGTCTGAATTATACATGTGCAGTTTGGTACTAGAAGGTTGTTTTTACATTCATCTGCTGAAGTAGGAATGTTTCTCAGATCTAAAACTAATTTTAAAATGTGCAAGTCCAAGCACATTTTTCCAAATCACAATTATCTTGCAAGCTAATCCCGCTGCAATTATCAACTGGAGGCAGTGTAAAATGCATGCTCATATCACAGATCTATTGAGAATGGACTAAATGAACGCTATCGACTGTGGAATAATATTGAAATGGAAGACATCTTGCTACCTACTGTGTTACTCAAATAGTTTGGCCAACAATATTTATAGATTAAAAAAAAAGAAAAAGAAAAATGGAATTTACTAATTAAAGGAGAAAATATTTTTAAGAAGTTCTGAAAAAATTATATGAGACAATTTATTATTCAGTATTTGTCATCCAAAGTAATTTGAAACGTCTTAATGCCTGACTAGAGGAGACCTTTAAACATTCAGTCTTGGCACAAATGTTAAATTGTCTCCTCTATATGAGCAAATACTGCCGGAGCACGCACATAATAACAAGGCAAACAAAAACTATTCATCTGTTTAAAGCTACTGCTTGTAAAAATGAAGTGTCTTTGTTGAGATAAGCAATGGCTGCTACCGAACTCTTACAAGGCTTGCAAACAAAAACAAGACCCACTTTATCGTCTGCGCCGTGTAGTTTTTTTGTTTTTGTTATCTGATCACCATGCACTATTTACAGCATCCTGTGTCGTGCTTTTTTTTTTTTCCTTTCTTTCCCCTACGAACAAGGAAGTGAGTGAACAGGCCAAGCTTTCATTAAGTTACATAGAGGTTAATCCTAATTGAAAGAAATGACACGAATGACTCAAGGACTGCTCCTTGTGATAACAGAGAGCAGATCTTTTAAATTATACCTTTACGTGTAATTATTACTCAAAGTCAGTGTAAAAGCAGCTCCGGGGGTAATTTGGATACATCTAGCAAGAGCACATGAGACGATTTTCTCTCGAGTAGACACATTAGCATAACAAATTATGGTCACTCTTGCCACTTTTCTAAATTATGTGTTATTGACATTAGCCCTTATTCAGAATTACTCTTTCAAGTCTTTTTTTTTTTTTTTTTGGCTGCCATATATCACTTAATCTCCAATCATATTTTTTTTTCTCCTCCTCATGTTGAGTAAAGTTCAAAAACAGATAATAATTACTCTAAAAAATGCATTAACCTTCAAACCACTCACAAACACATTGACATAGACCATCTACCGAGCTAATGCAAATGAACCACTGCTGGAGGCGGCTAACATTCACCTGTCGTTCCTGTCATAGTTCCTTGGGATTTGTTTGTAATGCTTAGTAAATCACATGTTTTCAAATGTTGCGCATCTCTCGGAAGATGTTTCTGTCATATTCGGGGCAATTACACTGACGACAACTCATTTCAGATTGTGAGAATCAGATAGTAAACCCTCGTGGATTCGTGGAGGAAAAATGGCCAAACGCTACAGTGAAACAATTGTCGTGTTCAAATGGGTTTTAAATAAAAGATGGTGAAATTATGCGGAGTGTCGGTGTTTACTCAGCCCTCTTCTTCACAGCTGTATCACCACTAAAATATGTGTTAGAAGAAAGCGTGTGATCCGTGAATGTTTGCCTTGTTCCTGTTCCGCTAATTCTCACACCATCGTCTTATTTCGAGCTTTAAAAATGAAACACTAAAACTAAAAACTTGGATGGAGGTGAGGAGGCAGAGTTAGCTGTATTTTCAGGTACATTAATGCTTACATTCATCTTATATACTACTAAAAAAGGATGCATAATATAAGTAAAATTTAAATTTTAGTTCTTCTGTGAGACTTTCGCAAATATCGACAGCGTTCAACAACATCGCACAAAGTGATTCTTGTGCTGCATTTCTTCTCAAGCTGCTTTTAAAAGTTGCCTGAGAGTCCTGCCGATTCATTCCCGTCAGCTCCGGCTGGTTTTGCGTGAAACTACAACAGTGTCCTTCTGTCGCTTTTTTCTGCATAAGCTTCCTGGCACGGCATTGGTTAATCGGAGGATTAAGCTGCTAATCGTCACCTTGCTTGGCGATTAACGCATTTTCAAAGCATTAAAACAACCCCAGCGATGATTCATATACACCTGTCATACCTAATTACATTAATACTGAAGAATGATTAGGCCTGTGTAGCTGCGTCTTCCTCTCCTCCTCTACCACTCCATCATATTCTGCACTCCTGATTAATGGATGTGAGGTGGCATGTGACTTTGTGAGAATAAACAAAACCTTTTGTCTGCACCAGTGAACCTTTACTTAGTTTACAAGTTAGACCTATTTTTGAAGAGCATCTGTTAATGCTGCTCTGCAAAGGGCATATTAGGATACATGATGCCAAGAGTCAGTGATCGACACGCCGTAATGAGAAAGGCTGCATGAGATTCTATTTTGGATTTTTGTGGAAGGAGACTCTGTGATTGACTTCTGAAGAGAAAGAGCATTCAATCAGTGGTTAACGTACAATTTAATGCCAATCTCTACGTAAATTGCATGGAATAAAAAAAAAAAAGATGCGTTCACAATTGAGTAATCAGGCCTCTTGAAAGGTTATCATTTGGTTGATTTTACATATCGAGCAATCATGTTTGAATTCTTACACTTTTCATTGATTGCCCACCAGATTTCTCTTTGGAAAAGTCTACCATTTCTATTTCTGTATGTATGCTACTATGTGACATTGAACATATATTAGCTAAACGAATTCAGTGTTACAATTCAGTCAGAGTCTTTCAGCTCATTAAGCTAGCCCCATGTGGAGTGTTTTTTTCATGTAATTTTTGCTTTGTCTCTTTTAGACCACGAGCGGATCGGGAAAGACTCATCCTACGAACAGGAGGGGAAGGTCCAGTTTGTGATAGATGCTGTTTATGCAATGGCTCATGCTCTACATAACATGCACAAAGACCTCTGTCCTGGAAAAGTTGGCCTCTGCTCCAAGATGGACACCATCAATGGCACGCTGCTGCTCAAGTACATCCGCAATGTCAACTTTACAGGTGTGTATTCCTACGTCTGCCTGGGTGAGCACAAAGCTGCATGCTTATTGCACACAAAGCATTACTTGTTGTTAACAGTGTTGCTATTTATATTGAAAAACAAGAAGAGCAAGTGCGTTCCAGGAAATACCTCTATTGAGTGTGATGTGTAAAGTATCAGAATAAGATTTGTACACAAGCGATGTTTGACAGTTGAATCACTCAGAGGCAATTGTGCTGTGGCACCCGATGCAACCTGTGTGTCCTATTTTTGGGTTCACCAGCGAGCTCATGCAGAGGCTTTGTGAGTATACAGTGGTCTCAAATTATCAGGTTAGTGAATGTAAATTATTCCCGGCAAGTATAAGAGGCTGAGATCCGTAGGAGGGTTGACAATCACCAGCAGAACAGCATGTTTTATCAGAGCTGATGATGCGCAGGAACTGTGCTTTGTGAGATTCCCGCCTTATCTTGTCAGCATTGAATTGCCCACGCAAGAGATCTCCTGCTTGAAGTGCACTGGCTGCTGGGTTGAAATTGTACATAAATGAGAGTGGGAAGAGAGTTAGCAGACAGCACAACAAAAACGTGCATCGGTAGATTTCCACTCGCTTTCCTATGTAAACTTAAAGTCAGTTTTTTTTTCAGTGTTCCTGGCAAATGCAATATGCGGTTATCTCTGGAGACAGAAATAGGTATAAGTTCAAAACACTTATGTGCGCACGACAAATGTCACATGGCCATGACCCCTGCATTTTATCTCTCTCTATGAAAGCATTAGCTGAACACCTAAAATGTAACAGTGAGCAAAAGTTTAGCCTCTCGTTCTGTAAAACTTATGCATCTGTAATTTAGAGAAATGCAGTTTGTCACCAGTTGACCCCAGACAAAGAACTGGACTGCATTTGCTCTTTTCCTGATTCTGTATGTGCATAAAGTACCTTCGATATTTACATATCATGACAACAGCCTCCAGCACAGTGTTTGTATTCTGGTATTCGTCTCTAGTAACGGGTTTTGGGAATCCTAATAGAAATTAAAGTGCTTAGAAGGACAGGGATTATAAAATATTCTGCAAGCGTGTACAAACTGATATTTAGAAGGTGCAAAGTTTACACTCAGAGCGTGACTCCACAACACTTTTACTACAATGTACTAACAAGTAAGATGTACTTTGACAATTAATTACAGGCCTCCGTGCACAACAAACAGCACATGAACTGCATGTGCACAAATGTAACCTGCTGGCTGTTGAAGACATTTTGAAAATGTCTGTGGAACGGGGTCCAATTTAGGTCATTGTTAGTAGTTAGAACAGCTTGAGCTAATTACACATCAGATGAGTAGAGGGTCGTGCAATCAAGCAGAATGCAACACGAGTGGTTTGACACAGTCTCAACTTGCAGAGTGGGATCTTTGGAGAGGGATGCAGTCGTTCCACAGCCAACTAACGGTCAGGAATAATTAACAGGAAGTTAAAAAGATAAAGGAACTTCTCGATGAAGCAAAACACAGAATCCAGAGCATCACTGGCTGCAGCTTGGCCAGGCGCTCCAAAGAACACAACTGTCAGTGTGCTGGAGGGAAACAAGAAACCATGTCCTGAGCTAACAATTCCTATCCTCAGTTTTGTTTTTTTTTCCCCAAATAAATCTCAACAAGGCTGTTTTTGTAAACGTTGTCACTGTCAGACAAATTAAGCAGGTAGCAGCTCCAGAAACTGTCCTCCCAAGAAAAACGACAGCCTCTGTTTGTTCAAATTCCTTACACATGCTTACATTCGCCCAGCAAGGACTTCTGGTGGCTGTAATTGTAACTCTTGTCTGTCAGAAACAAAGACAGAATTAGGGAGACATCGTTATTAGAGCTGTGGAATCTCATAGGGAAGAGTTTGCCTTGAATGGATGGGTCAATAAAATACGTAAGACCTCGTTTTCCCATTTCCTACCAACAACACCACCAAGTAGGAATTTTAATAAACATGACAAGGTCCCCTACTCTTAACAGAGATACAAAGATAAAGATAAAGGCAAAACTGGCTGAAAGATGTAAAAAAAAAAAAGGTCTGTTCTGCAGTAAAATTCAACATGTCGAATACTACTACAATAATAAAACCACCTCAGTGCAGTTACCATCAAAAACCATGTACAAAATTAGATCAGCAATTTGCTCAATCTGCAAAACAACTAAAAAACAAAGAAGGATTTAATCAGACCTCCAGCAGCCTGACTGCTGATTATGCAAAAAAAATGGTGTCATAACCCCCCTAAAACTAAATATGTTGCAACAACCACCACAAATTTGGTTTTCTACTCTAAAATTAGTCAGAGGTGACCAGGTAGCTGCTAAAACAATGTGTAAAGTGTCTGTTTGGCTTAAAGGTCCCACATAGTGCATTTTTATTATGTTGTGGTTGCTGGAAGTGTAAAGTAAAAGTTGTTAACATATGAAGATGTCATTCTTCAAGCGTTACCACAACTAGATATCTAAGCGAGACTACTTCTCTCTTGCTCTCAGTGCTCACAGATACTTTATTTTAATTCAGTTGAATTCTCAATAAAGCTGCTGTCATATTTAAATGCATTTTCTGAAAAGAGGTACAATATTGGACCTAACCTAATCAAAGCAGCGGCAGATTATGGCCATATGCAGCAGTACTGGCAAATAATGTTTTTTTTTTGTTTTTTTTTCTGCTGAAAGAGGATTTAAATCAGGTCAGACCATATTATTCTGTGAAGGTACATGGTGGTCTACAGTCTCCACGGGGTGACAATAGGTGTTGGCAGTCAGTGTGATGGCTGCTAGATGAAAGAGGAATTAGGTAAAATGCAAAAGCTAAAATGTGGAACATAATATGGCACTTTCCTCCTGAATGGTGGTAATGTGTCTAGATGTATGTAATACAGTTTCTGAGAATATGAAATCAAGATCACAAATAAAGTATGGATGATTTTTAAAATAATGTAGTCAACATAACCTTTATCTTTGGGGATAATAAAATTTAACTTGACACTTAGGTTTGCAGCAGCTAGTTTTCTTCCCTAATGGATTTTGAAAGGAAACTCTGCAGCGCTCAGCAGTGTTTTACTGTAGGCCCCATCTTCAAAGTCAAAACGTTGTTTACCTGTTCCTGAGCATGCTTATTACTATGTAAGCAGGTCAGTTCACATTTGTTTAAAATTTAAAGAAAAAAAAAAAAGAAGAAATTGTATGGATGTGTCTCCTTGGGTTACAGTTGTTTAGTTCCACAAGATAGATCAATTCTCTTGGCATCGGAGTAAAGCTTTAATCTCAAATGCTGCATAGGAGACATGTGTTATGGAATTAAACTTCGATTCTTTATGCATTCGTTTATTCATGGTGTTATATTACTGGAAGGCTTGTCAGCACTGAAGCCATTGGGTTTACAACAGGGATGGCTAGAAAATCAATGCTACACATTACCGGAATACTGCCTGGCTTGCTTCGCTTTTAAGAGTCTTTCGCCACAGAGGAATGGAGAATTTAAAAGGCCTGCAGGAATGCAACAGGAATGTCCATTCGATCCCAGCGTATTCTGGGAATCGTCTATAGGTATCCATGCTGACTAAAGGAAAGAGGAAACCCAAACACTAGAGATATCATAGACGAAGCTGATACGTATTGATGCACGGTATTAAGATTGTAATCCTTGTGCTGTCGGTTACATTCAGGACGAGAACAGTTTTTCTGAAGACAGTAGGCTTCACAAAGCAGCCTTACAAGACAAAAAGAAACGGATCGTAAAGTGGCGTTGAATGAGCTGTGATTAAAGTTTTAATGTTACTGCAGGGTTTTACCATAATCATTTAACGTTGCCTGTTTTCATTAGGTCTGATTACTCATTTAATCTGTTTGTAACCTGAGGAAGCCCTTACCTATATCACTATATGGTGCACAGACACTGTTAATGACAATTAGGAACTGCTAAAATGAACATGCTCGCTATAAGGATACGTGGTTGCGTGTAAAAATATGTTGTTTTTTTTCCTGCAGGTACTATAAAAATGAAGTTGTCTCCTGTCTACTCTATCAAACTGAATAATTAATAACCATGTAAGGACTTGGCCTCTTTAAACAGCGAAAATAAATGTTTCTCACAGTTCTTGGTGTTTTTAAATTACTGCTTGTTTTTTTGTTTGTTTCTATTTTAAAGTGGAGTAATTATGTTTTTAACTTGTATTTGGGAAGAAATTAGTTCACCAAAGTCCCTTCCATACTTCTCACAGTAGAAGTTAAATACAAAATAAATTTGCAAACACATTTCATTTCTCATGGCTTTCGCTAATGGTTTTTAACGGAATGAAAGGATCAGGAAGGCAACTGTGACACAACGGAAATTACTGTTTTGTATTAAAACATGATTAACTTTTTAAGAAATGCATAATAGAGCTTTAAATGTGTCTCCAATAAACCGGCCTTAAAGTAGGGACAAAAAACAAGAGGTTTGAACTGAGCTAATTTGAATAAGTAGTGCAAATAACGCTCAGTTTAACAGCCACTGCCACAACTGCAACACAGTGACAACACTTTACCTTATGCACACACTTCCTCTGGAACCACCACAGTACGGTTAATTTGTCTCTAAAAGTATGGACAAGAAGTCTTTCCTCAAAAATCTGACTTTGTTATTAAATAAGCATCTTGTTAACATTTTGCTGCCTCTGCATGAAAACCGCGGTATCTTTTTGCAAGTGAAGAGGTGAAACTAATCGATTACAGCAATCAAATTAGTAGAAACATACATCCCACTCAATTCCTTCTATTGCTGAGCTGGGCAAGAAAATCTTCATAATTGATAAGGCTGCCTGCTATTGTCTTCGATGTGCCCTCCGGATAATTCATCAGGATGATACTAATGCAATTAACTCCTATGGATTGTTGATGAGACTTTTGACAAATCTGCAGACGAGAGAATATACATCTGGCCTCACAGACTCACAGGTTTCCAAAGTCTGACTCATAGGTTCAAACCACAATCAACAATCAATACCGTGACCTATTAAGGAGAACAAAACACTCAACTGAATAATTCCCTTTTTTCTTATGACGGAATATAATCAATACTTGCGGAATATGATCAACTCTCTTTCTAATGCAGTCAAGTGTCTGGTCATGATGTATCCTTTTTCTGTTGCTGCAAGTCAAGAAAGGGTATTTTTTTTGTACACTTCCCTACTTCAGCATGTTAGAGAAATGCTGAGTAGTAGGTGATTGCATCAAAGAAAGCAAATTTGGTGGGATCAAATAGAGATTGGTCTTTTCCTAAGAGAAGCTTTGCTCTCATCACTCAATCCTTGAACCCTCGTTCCCTCGCGACGCAATTTTACAACGAGTCGCGAAGGGGATTGTAGGTTGGCTCAGAGACAGGAAGCAGAGTCATGAGAGAGACCTCAAAGTGGTAATCAGAATCAGCGCTGTCGTTCATTAGCACTCAGAGTGGAGACTTTGTGGATAACAGGCAATGGGGGCAATAAGCAGAATGAAGGAGTGTGAAATGATATGGGAACATGAACAGACAGCAGCCCTGGCCCTCCTCAAAGGACCAGGACAACATGCCTGTCAACATCTATTTTGCTCCCATCATTAACATTATAACAGCACTGGCTTGAAGTCCCCTCGAAACCTCATTTCTTTCTCAGGGCAGGAAGACCTTGAGTTTTAACTGTGCTGCTGAACACTGGAGTTTAGCACTGAGTCTGTCCTTTAAAACAGAAGTAACACGTTTCTTTCTTTATCTTCCTTAGGCATCGCGGGCACCCCGGTGGTCTTCAATGTGAATGGAGACGCTCCTGGTCGCTATGAAATCTACCAATACCAGATCACAAACAACACCACAGAGTACAAGATCATTGGTCACTGGACAGATCAGCTCCACTTGGACGTATGAATCTTTTAAGTGTCTGATTTGCGTGCTTGACAGTGATGCATGATATTAAAATTTCTGGCCGATACGATAGCCGATATTAAGAGTTCTGATATTGCCGATAACCGATATTACCGATGTCGATATTCAATTTTGGTTCACACTGAAAAACGAGTATTAGTAAGCACTGTGAGAACGTGAAAACTATTCAAAAGAAGCCCATACCACATTAGACCACATAGTCTTCTTTATTATGTAATAAAAGTAAAACATATTTAAACATATTTTAACATATTTCACGTTCAAGTCCAGGATATTTAAGTGAAAACATCTGTATAGCAGCAATATTAAATGTAGAGACTAAAGTGCTAATGTTCAGTAATTTCCCAGGCCTGGGATAAATAAAGTATTTTTCTTTTCTATTCTATTCTATTCTATTCTATTCTATTCTAGACAATCATCGGTTTTTCACGTCGGCTAAATTTGTTCATCGGACCGATACTGATATATCGGAAAAAAACACTAATATCAGTCAATACCGATGTGGTCGCCAATATGTCGTGCATCCCTAGTGCTTGAGTTTTCTGATAATATTAGTGTTGTGTGATTGTTGGACAATTAACCAACAGAACAATTCATTAGAGATCTCATATTTTGCATTTCAGCACTAATTCACTCGTAGTCTTGAGGAAAAAGTGCAAATGACACATTGCATTGAAACTCAAATCTGTAGCTTCACCAACTGGAAAGATCAGTGTTGTAACTATGAAAACTACTGAATTGAGAAATTGGAAAAAGAAAATTGCCTCAAAGTGAGCCATCTATTAATTAGCAATAAAGCCAATGTATTCTCAATATTTATATTCTCATTTGAGTTTAATCTATACTAATATTGCCTCCTAACTTGCAACCATTACATGTAACATTTGCAGCAACTCTAGTGTTTCAGCTTTAACAATTCATTAAATGCATTTTCTCATAACTTATCACTGTTATCAATTAATTTGCGGAACATATCTTGCTTATACCAGGCTTTATAATGGGGCAGCAGTCAACAGAATAATATCAATGAATCATCCTTTTCCTGCTTGGCTTCACAATTTGCAAAAATAGAGGCTGACAGATGCTTTAGGTCAGTACAGAGTGTGTTGTAAAGTATCGTCCACAGCATTTCCACTCGCAATTATGCTGATATGAGTAGGTCTATAATGGAGTAAAAAGCCTCTTATTGCATTAACCTTATTGTGACATTTGCCATCATTACTAGATACAGTACCAGTTTCCCTTTCAACATTTCCATATGCCTAGAGAGCACAATCTGCAGTGGTGCATATGTTTACATCAAAACTGCTTTGTGTTAAATACTAAACTTTGCATGGAAATGTGTGTATGCATCATTTTTGTAGTTATGCAATATACATGAGCCCCCAGGTGTTCATATTTTGTTGATGCACACACTGTAGGTATGGTATCGGATTATAGCAGACATCAAGGACCTGAGTTACTGCTGCAAACAGATCGACTTACCCGCATCGTCCTCCGAGGGACACCGGAAATACCATATGGAATTTCTCTTTTAGACACAAAACCAATCATTTAAACTATCCAGATGTTTATTTGAATAATTGAATATTCCCCATCTATTTCCATCACCCTATTCCACTTAATAAGGCCTCTTAAGCAAACTGTGCTGCACTAAAAATAAATAATGTCAATGCAACAGCACAGGCACACGGTGCTGCACTGCACTGTGTCGAGACTGCAGTGCCACGCAGCTCGACTCTTTCTGCTCGCCTTTCCTCACCTTAAATGCAACATTCCTGAGAAGCAATTAAACAGCAAAAGTCATTTCCTGTTGCGCTAAAATTCAATAAGTTCACACCAGTGATGTCTTGATATAAAAGACTGCTGCTTTCATGTGGCGAATATCCCATTTACAGTTTGTTCAGTCTATCATGCACTTCTGTGCGTGTAAACTAATCTACCATCTGCTAATTGAATTGTGTCCTCATGCGGTGTGTGGTGCGTTGATTAATATCAAACTGGTGAAACAATATGTAGTTACTTGTACTGCTGTTCTTGCTAGACTGACCCTTAAAAGCCAGTTTAATCTATTTTAAAAGAGCTGTTTAATTGCAATTATGACACTGTCCAGATGGAATACAATGAAGAAGATAGACGACAGTGGATGTGGGTATATGAGTAAAACTGTGTTACTGTGGAGAGATGCATCAGGCCTACACAGAAACAGCACATTAGCAGAGTAGCAGCAGCAACTCCGGTGCTCTGTCTTTGTCTCCACAGGAGGTGTTCATGCACGGTATTGAGCTCAAGCGCATTTTGGTAAAAGCCCAATATGTAATCATTGTAGGTACATATCATCAATAGAGTGATATACGCTTTAAAATACACTCTTGCTCCAGGGGCTAAAAAAACAAGGCTGATGCGTATTCTGTGCAAACATAAATACAGAATAAACTTCCTCTTTCTTATGCTTTCCCTCCAGACCAATGAGATGCAGTGGCCTGGTGGAACACAAGAAGTCCCTTCCTCTATATGCAGTCAACCCTGCCGTCCAGGGCAGCGCAAGAAGACCGTGAAGGGAATTCCATGTTGCTGGCACTGTGAGAATTGTGATGGCTACCAGTATCAGGCAGACACTTACACCTGCAAGATGTGCCGCTTTGATTTGCGGCCCAACGATAACCATACTGGCTGTGTTCCCATTCCTATTGTTAAGCTGGAGTGGAGCTCCCCGTGGGCAGTCATCCCTGTCCTCATCGCTGTCTTGGGGATCATGGCCACTCTGTTCGTCGTTGTCACCTTTGTACGCTACAATGACACGCCCATTGTTAAGGCATCAGGTCGAGAACTGAGCTACGTGCTGCTGACGGGTATCTTCCTCTGCTATGCTACAACTTTCCTCATGATCTCCACTCCTGATGTGGTTATATGCTCCCTGCGAAGGATTTTCCTGGGCCTCGGTATGAGTATAAGCTATGCAGCACTGCTTACCAAGACGAATCGGATCTACAGGATTTTCGAGCAGGGCAAAATGTCAGTCAGTGCCCCTCGGTTCATCTCCCCGGCCTCCCAGTTAGTCATCACATTCAGCCTGATATCAGTGCAGCTCCTTGGAGTGTGCATCTGGTTTGGTGTCGACCCATCTCAAGCAATCATCGACTACGAGGACCAGCGCACAGCCAATCCTGAAATGGCCCGTGGTGTTTTGAAATGTGATATATCAGACCTGTCTCTCATCTGTCTGCTGGGTTATAGCATGCTGCTGATGGTCACCTGCACAGTTTATGCCATCAAGACGAGAGGGGTTCCCGAGACGTTCAACGAGGCCAAACCCATCGGCTTCACCATGTACACCACCTGCATCGTATGGCTCGCCTTCATCCCCATCTTCTTTGGAACCTCACAATCGGCAGAGAAGGTAAATATTCCATTTGGAATGGGGTGCAAGCATAAAATAAAAGATGGCAAACCCAATCTGTCCCCTTTTTAAAACAGTTGTAAGACTTGTAAAAAGCACAATGGCAGAAAATCCCTTAAATTCACTTGTTCGCGTGAGATGCTAGTTTCCTTTTTGGGTTTCTTTTATATTTTCTCTATGCCTCATTATGAAGAAAATGGCCACTCAAATTATGTTCATTGTATAGAATGAGCCTCTTGTGGAGTAAAGAGGTTTTACTCCACAATAGTTGGTGGATGCTGCCACTATTCATCATGAGCTGATGGGCTTTGTGCTCCAATGTGGGAATTACGAGACTCTTAGAGTCAGCTTGTGTGGATAATTCATTCACTGCAAGTTTGCATGGATATGTTTTCTTTAATTGTGTTTTTGTGTGTGTATGTGTTTGATTCAGCCTCACTGGGTGGAAATGCCAAGTAGTCAATCACTGCACATTCATGCACACAGAAATAGACAACGCATGTTGGTGAAGTAGCATAAAATTACCGCGGCTGTTGACGTTTCTTGTGAGTTGAAAGTGAATCACAAATTACTTCTCACAAGTGCTAATTTTGAGGTTGCGCAGCGTATGTGTACATTGAACAAGCAGAGACGGGAAAAGTCAAATTAGTGATATTTATGCAATAGAAGCCTCAGTATGGGGATGTGGTAGTGTTGTACTGTGATACATTCAATAGCAGCCTTTAGATTGCCATCAACCTGGCAGAGTTTATGTTAAAAACAATGAAGTGGATACATGTCTATGGACTTTAGTTACAAATAAAGCAATAGTAACACTTGGAGTTTAGTGGACAAAAAGTCTACTTGTGAACAACTCTTTGGGGAAGGGACACGCTCTTTAAATCAGTGATGACAAGAACATTTCGGGGTTCTCAAGGAAATGTTTAGAAGCAATCATTCTTCTAGATTACACACTTTCATGACTGCCCATTAACATAATTTCCCTCTTTGTGGCAAACAGCTTGGGCACTACATGTATGCAAACTTCTCCATTAGAAGAAGCCAAGATACAAACAATTTCATTCACCTGTATCTCAATCATTAAAGAGCATGTGTGTGTAACCTGCATTAAATGCAATGAATTAGATTCAGCTGTCACTTAAAATTCAGATACTTGTTGTGTTGCTATCACAAAGACTGAAGTTCACATCCTCTACAACACAGAGTGAATCACACACTATCAGGGTTAAACAAGACATTACAAACGTTGCGTTCTCCAGTTTGTGGGGAAGCAATTAACGGATATTTTTCCCCAGAAGAACTGTGTTCTGTTTCTCCATTAGGTATTGTTTTATAAACCTTTAATATGATTTATGCTCTGTTAAATATGAATATCCCTATATTATTACATTATTATTATTACTTATTATGCACAGTTAACAATGGAAACATGATTTTCTTTGGTCTACCATAAATCTGAGGTATTGTAGTTCAAAGAAATAGAAGCTTTATATGTTTTTCACAACAGCAATTTTGATGTCAAAATGTCCTAAAAATATTTAGCATGTTTCATTTTATCCATATTCAGAAACCCCACATCACAAGGTACCGAGGAAGTGTGTTACCGTTTTAATACTTTGTGTTTGAGTAGGAACAACACTGTTTGGACAAGTAATGCCAAAAGGAGGCAAATCTGCCTTAAAGAACTTCATAACGGTTTCTGTCCCCAGTCCTGTTTCTTCACTGTGCCGATGGAGCAGATTGGCAATCATTTCAGCATGTCAGGGAAAATTTATGTCACCAAGGCCGATGGAAGTGGACAAGGGTCTTGGCTGCCCTCACAGAGTGACTCCACTCTGCACTCCAGGGGGCTGGCAATATTGTTCCGAACTCACCCGGGGCCACGTGTAATCTTCTCAGGAGATTACAAACTCCCCCTCTATCACCCAGGAATTCCCATGTGCTTTTTTGCACTATGATGGAACACAAGGCTCTATCAGTTCCATCTTCCACTGACATCTTTTTTTTCTTTTTTTCCCCTAAACTGACACAGCTTTAGGGGGCTTAATTCTGCAAAGCTCCTCTTTAGATATTGTTTGTTACATCAACATAGATCATAGTCAGTAAATAACAGGTCTTGGTAAACAAAAACACAAAGCTAAAGTGATGCTACTCAAATACTCCACTGATGTGATGTATTTTTAAATCCTATCTTATGAGAGTACCTGAAACTCTGACGCTTATGGCAGTGTCAGGTTTCTAAGACTTTGAAAGCATCTCGGCTTAAGACAAATGTTGTATAAAGTCACACACAAGCAACATATGTCATCACCGCATGTTGGAAAACATCATCTGTAACTGTTGACATTTGGTTCGGAGCCCTGTTGGCTATTCTCATGTCAAACAGCTCAGTCATTTCTGATGTCTACAAATGTAATGTCAGACAAAACCTCAGGCAAATTTCTTTGAAGAATTTCCCCCAGCTGTGTTTCCACTGTACACTCGTCGCCTTGTGTTCATCAACTTCAGAGAAGAGGCAAAGTCAGCTGTTCTCTTCCCTTCTAATTAATACTTTAATCACTGCAGAACAGAGGAGAGATAGACTAGAATCAGTGTGAGACAAGTGTTCCTTTGGTGAGCTTTAATTGTATTTTCATGCAACTATAATCTGAAACGCAGATATACTTTTTTCATTTTTGTGCACCTTTAACAAACTTATAATACACTTCATATGCATGTGTCAATGTCAAATACGATCTTCCTGTTATATATTTACAGCCCCCTGCCCTAACTCATCACATTTCCCACGTAAACAAATCAAAGATAGATTGTGTGTGTGAGTTCTGGGATGATTATCATAAATGAAAAATTACTTGCAGGCACTTTTGCTATGCTGTAGGATGTTTCTCTGCACTCCCTCGCTGTTGCCTGTAGCTATATATCTGCTACCCAGCTGTGAGTTGCAGCTGTCACTAGCTACAGAGAACACACAATCCTCACGCTGTTGTCTAAAACCTCCGGGTAAAAACATCTATGCACAGACTACATAGACACCCATCAGGGGCACATCTATTAGATGCATATCATAAATAAACAAGCAAAACAATGACAAGAAAGCTCAAAAAAAGAGGAGAACTCAAAGAATATGAACAAAGGGTGGGGGATGCCATCAGTGTGTCTCTATATGTGATTGTGTGCAGTTCAAGGTTGTTTTTCGACATAAGAACATATAATTTAGAAGAAAACATCCTCCAATATTCTGTGTTCACATACTAAGTAATGTAGTGTTTGAGCAACACAATCTTCACTGTTGTTTCCTCAGTTTACCTCGAGACTCTAAAAGTAGAACATCACGTTCCATCGCTCGGTACATCCTCAACCAATAATTCTATTTTGCCTCCTCTGTCCTTTTCATCATATAGATGTATATCCAGACCACAACTCTGACCATCTCCGTCAGCCTCAGTGCGTCGGTCTCTCTGGGAATGCTCTACATGCCTAAGGTCTACGTGGTTCTCTTCCATCCAGAGCAGAACGTACCCAAGCGCAAACGCAGCCTGAAGGCTGTGGTCACTGCAGCCACTATGTCCAACAAGTTCAACCCCAAAGGCAGCCTGAGGCCCAACGGAGAGGCCAAGTCTGAACTCTGTGAAAGTCTTGAAACACAAGGTTGGTATCACGCCTCATGTTTCAACAGAGAGAAAAGAAACAACAAAAACAACAAGAGCTGATTTCATGCTGATGCATATTTTGTGGATATAAGCCTTTAAAGAATACACATGTCAACTTGAAAATACTGAACTGTAACTTTGTACCTTCAGCAGTTTGGAAAATGAGTAAGCATTTATGTGAGCATGTAAGACATTCGAGTGTGATTTCAGAGCCAAGTAAAGCAGATTTCTTTTGAATATGAGGCATTGCAAGTGACAAACAGCTGTGTGAAGAATCAGAGCTGATAAGAATGGTGTCATATTATCCTGTAGTTAGCATTGTTGCGGACGCTGCCCCAGTCTGGTTTTTCATTTATCTTTTTAATAAACGGCAAGCTAATGCGTGTAACTTTTAGTTTATTAGTTCATAAGGTCTTCACCTTACTATGTTAAGCGCTGTGAGATGACATATGTTGTAAACTGCACTCTACAAATGAAATTGAAAAATTGAAATTGAATTGCGTTAACAAAAATCCACTAATACATAAACTTTGCATGTTTCAAATATGCTATATGAAATTCAACAAATGCCTAAAAAACACTGGAAGCATTTTTCAGTTTCAGCAGGATTATCCTGCATGTTGAATACATGGAACAGCTAAATAGATCTATTCTATTCACTTCACTATTCACTAACTCACACCACAGTGGATTTGTGAACCAGGAGGTGTGACAGGGTGCCCACACTACTCTGATTTTGAAAAGGAAGGGTAGTTCACTGTTAAATATGAGAGGAGGATATTTCAATCACCCAGATAAAGTGTATAAGTAGGCAGTCCTTGTGTGGGGGCAGGCTTAAATCTAATCAAGCAACCCCACATGTTCTGATTACTGAAGGTCCTGATTTTATACTCTACCGAGCTGATCAGTACACAATGATGTGTGTATTAGGACTAAGAATCATGTGCCCACACTTGCATGTATGGCTCTTTTTTTCCCCCCTGCCTCAGAATGGAGTTGTGATATCTCATCCAATTATAAAGCCCATTTATGGGTGCTGACTCTCACCCTCTGGTTTGAACTGTGAATCTAACAACTGCTCTTTGTGCTTATGTGTCAGACTGTGTTGAGGGAGGGGAGCCTTGTGAGGGACTTTAGACTCTCAAGGTAACCTGATTAGAAAATGACTTTGCCCTTTTTTAATATCTGTGATCACTTTTTTTCCTGTTAATTTCTTTTAATGTTCACTACAACACTCGTGCCTGCCTATATTATGCACAAAGCATCCGGGCTGCCCCTGGCTAAAAAAAAACAAAAACACAAAAACACACAGCACCCTGAATGACACAAGGCAGTAATCACACACTCACAAATCAACCCCCCCTGACCAACAGACATTAACTTGGATGGACAATATTGGTGTGTGGCGCTGTAAAATGGCCAATCAGCGTGGTAAAGCCTGTTAATGTGAGAAGATGACACCACTCTGCCTGAGTGCAGGAGACAAGCGATAGCCATGTGTCCCCTGTAATTTGTTTCACTGTTGACAAAAGAAGGAATTTGTGGTAATGGGACAACAACAACAATAAGAGTGAACAGGAAAAGACAGATGGGTCTGCCAGCTCCAATTCTTTCTGGACCATCTATTCTTTATCTTGGCCTCGCAGCACATAAATATTCAAATAAGGTTCATTTATCAACGCTTCTCTTGGAAGAGATGCTTTGGATGAAATGGCGAGAATACCGCCCCGATTCACACACCCAACATGGCACTGACAAATATACAGAAGTGTTTACTATTGCACATCCCTCCTCTGCAGCTCTTTCGCCCCAGCTCTGGCTTTCAGCTGTCCTCTGATTGGATTCATCCCCTCTGACATATTCAATCAGCAGAGGCTGCTATGGGCAGATTGGCAGATTGCTAGTGTGATTACCACCACCGAGCATGCTCGCTGAGGACACTTTTATTTTGAAAAATGACACACGTGCTGACACTTGTACACGGACATATGTGTGCAGACGAGCATGAAAGCACACATATACACAGGTACTGTATGTAAGACGTGTATGTCACATTTGAACACCAGTTTGAGCTTGTTAGGGTCACTGTGGTCTGCCCTTCGGTCATTTATTCAAAGCTGATGTGAAATTCCATGAAACATGAAAAGAATGTAAAAGAATAATGAGAACTGCCATAAAACATTGACGACAACAATTACAGTGCCAGGTCAGATCACATATTGCCTTAATAGTATTTTTAACCCACTTACTTACTACAATTCAAAATGTAATACGTTGACTGACTGCTGCATGCTTTGCTTGGTGCACAGAAATCTCACGTCTTTGCATGTCGTAAAGACTTGCATTTGAATGGTTGCTATTGCATTATATACTCCTGTTGTGATTATGCTTGGTGACTCTATATAATGCATTTTGGATACAAGTTAACGGTACAATCAGCTAACCGGACACGCCAGATGGTTTGCTACACAGAACTATTTGTGAGGTCATCCTTGGAAACTGTTCGGAGACAGGCAGGCTTTTTCAAAATAAAACTTGGCAGGTGATTGGAGGAACCATCTGCCTATCACCATCTATCATGAGATAACTCGTACCTAAACATGCCCATAGCTGCCAGCAGTAACTAAGGATTCTGACTGGTGCGACCAGCTGTGAATCAGCCACAAACACGTAGCTTGAAGCCTGACAGGATGGATTTTTTTTTCATGATCTTTTTTTGTTTGTGATCTTGTGAACCTTGCAAGAATCCAGTTGCCCCGCAAGGTAATTAATCAGCTGTAAGAAAAAACATTTCGATTTGTAATTTCACAAATGCAGTAGTTGCAGATTGATCTGTTGATAAAATCGATGCTTGTGACTGCCTCTGAATCAATTTAAATGGCAAAAAGTTCTTGGTTATTTGTTGTTAAAACATCACCAATGTTAGCATATACTATGTGTACAATTAACAATCCACTTACTGGTAAACAGTCAACATTAGAATGCTATTGCAGAGCTGCACAATTTAGTTATTTTAACAATTAGTCAATGAGCAAAAAAACCCAACTGTTTTGACATTGGAGTTAGTTAGAAAAAAAATCATCACTTGGAAGATGTCATTTGGATTTCTGAGAAATTGTGATGGGGATACTTTCATTGAACTGGGACATATCAGAGACTAAATATTTACTTAACAAAAAACAAAAGAACACACCAGATAATCAGTAATAAAAAAAAGCATTAAATATATTCTAGCAATTACACAATCTAGTTTTTTCCTTTAACATTACAGTTGTGACTCAATAATCCGACCCTTAACAATCCGTAAACCTCGCTATCCAACAGGTTTTGAGGAAAAACGAACAAACCCATAAAATATAGCCTTAACATACCGACAGTCTTGGATTCTGACTTCGACATGACATTTTATGTCACAAATAAGGATAATGGCGTATTGTCTGACTTCACAATCCAACAGATTGGCTACATTCAGACTGCAGGACTTAATGCTCAATTCAGATTTTTTTTGTGAAATCCAATTCTTTTGCGAGTTCGTTCACATTTACAATTAAATGCGACTTGTATGTGAACTCCTGTGTTAACTTCATATGACCCAAAAGCGTCCCGCATGCGCAGAAGAGGACACGCCACACGTCACATGCCACAAGCGTGCTCAATGTTTACGGAAGTAAACACAGATGGTGGAAACAGAAGTGTGACTGCTATCCTAAATTATCAGTAGCAGCCAAGTGCTGCCTGCACATTCCGGCTACTTCCACCCCGTCGAAGCGCTCCCCCAGGGTGGAAGTGCCCCCCACCCCGAACGCAATCAGTAATTGGGCCTGAATATCCAGAGACGAGAAAGTGCTATTTGGACCAGCCCTACTAGTTATTATAACAATTATGAACAATTATTAACAACAAATGACCCTTCAAGCATCAAGCCCTCCTTGTATCTCGACCTCCGTCTTGACAATCCGACAGCCTTGCTATCCGACATAAAAGAAGGTTTTACATTTAGTGACGGATTATTGAGTCACGACTGTACTTTGAAAAAGTGAATTTGATTTGACATTTTGATAGACATTTTGCTTTAAGCTATAGTTTGTGTTTTCAGTTTTGTTGACACAATAGCAGCATAGATTAAAGAATTTAATTTTGGTGATTGGCTGTGTCTTGCTGAAATGCACCTTGGAAGTCAAAACTGATTTCTCCCTCCAATTATGTTTTGTAACATAGCATAACATTGATTATTTGGGCCACTGATTGAACCAGAACAGCTTAACGTCAAACTAGGCAGTAGAAGATCCCCAAAAACGACTGGACAAACTCAAACACATTGAGAACCTCAAAGGAAAACTAAAGTGTGCAAAATAAAAACTGTGAGTCTGAGACCTAGAATAACACCACCAACCAAAAATAAACATTGCAAACTGTGCAACAGGCAATACAAGCTGTGACTGTAAGTCACATTTCACACAGTAGCTCTTTTGTGAATTATAGAAATGTGGGGTTGTGCTTTGTTGGCTGGTTTGTGTCCCAGATTTCACAACATTTTTATTAAAAGACAAATTTAAATCCACACGTTTCTGATAATTTCTTGTGAATCTTGAGTCTACTTTCTATAGACTTCAGCTTCGCAAAAAACATATTTCAGTTTAAATCTAATGGGATGTTAGGTGATGTTCCTGTCAACAGCATTTTGCATTAGCACCCTGCTATTATGATTAGCTCCACCTGTGCTTGTTTAATCAACTCATCCATAAATAGAATTTCACATCTTCAACTTCAATCTGGTTTCCAACAATCTGGACTATTAAAGAATTCCACACTATGCCTATTTTAGTCTCACTCGTTGCATATCTAACACTTTTCTTCTTTCTTCTGCACCTTCGCTTGCAGTGTTGGCCTCAAAGCAGACATACATAAGCTACAGTAACCATGCCATCTAAGACAGAGATGAACCGCGGAAGAGGAGCAAAGGGCCTGCCTGAGGAGAAATCACCTGCTTCTGGGGAATATTTGGGAAATGCTGGAGAACTTTCAAGCTGCTGCAGTGGAGAGGGCTGGGGTGGAAAGATGGGAATTTGTCACTCCAAAGGATGTCATATTTTTCTAGGGAATCAGGTAAAGGCTTAAATGCCAAATTTATGGGGGGAAAAAAATGGTAGATTACGAGGAGGTAGGCGGGAGACGTAAAAAGGAGCTTGGACAGTTAATTTTCCTCTTCCCACCCTTTCTGAGTCACGAGCAAGTGTTGATTGGTGACGTTTCCAGATGCAGGCTGACTGAACCACCTGGAGCCTACAGTGCGTTTTTTTCTTCTGAAGTGTATAGCACACGGTTTCAGTTCTCGAGCTGAAGCTGAATCCTTTGTCTCATTTCAACAAAAACAGGGGAAAAGCGTTCCGGTTTTTGTCAAATGCAGTTGACAAGTTGAAACAGCATAAAAATATCGGAATTATTTTTGGTTACAGGTATCATTGGAGTTGAAAGCTGCAGTACTCTTCAGACTGTACATGCCTTACTACAGTACACTCAGTATTCCTACACAAACTAACCATATCTGAAACCCATGGAGATAAAGCAGTGGGTCACCCCAGTTGTTTTATAAATGTTTCATAATAATTATGATGACACCATCATCTTGGCAAACCAATAGTGTACAGTCCCAGAGCATGCTAATGGGAGCATCACGTGTACTGTGCTGTGTTGTCAACGTCTATGGAATGCAACATTTGTCATGGTTGTCATTCACAGTGGAGATGTCATTTTGGACCATTACCCACTGGGTTACCCTCTGCTAAATAAAGAGTGAACAAACGTGAAAAGGAGCCAAAATAAACACAAATTGCCATGGGATATCTTTGTGGTTTACATCACATTCCATACGTGTCAGCCAGGACTTGGAGACTTGACAACTCATACTTTAAACATCCCAGATTTATTGGCCCTCATTTGTCATGCACTTGTTGAAGCCTTTGTAAAGCAGAGCAGTTAGATAACTTAAAAATTTCACCCTAGCCAGAATGAAAAGCCCTTCACAGATCCGTGCGATTATGTAATCCATAATTTCCGTATCTGTGCATTTCAATGATGAAAGAAAAAAAAGTGCAGAATTTTGTCCACAGTTTAAGAATACTTTCTGAATTTTTATAGCAGTGGAGCAAGAGTAATACAGATGAGACAGTATGTTCTGCCCCTCAATGCGAGACTTTCATAAAATGCTTGATTTATAAGGGAAAAAAAAACCCCAGAACATATCAGTCTAATGTTGTGCCACATTTATTATAGTTAAATCCTGATGGTACATGATAAATGGGACAGGAGAAATGCATAGAACAGTATAATATATTGTGTTGTAGATGCATGGGTAATCTGTGTTCCTTGCAAAAGATTTATACGCACAAATTGATTCCCTCTTGTGGGTCAAGAATTTGGAGGCCGCCACGGAAATGATAAATGGGAGTTTTAATAGCATTTTCATGCAAAATTAAGCTCATGTAGCTGCTCAGTATTATCGCCATCATCGCCCATTTGGAGACGGTGCAAGCTCAGTTCTGCTAAACAGCCAAAATTGGCAAAATTAGTGTTAATATGACATGTCTAAATGATCTCCCTCTTGTTCGTTGTCAAGACATAACATATAAATACAGGACTTAGCTATAGTTTATTTAGCCTAAGCAGGCCTTGTTACAGTAAACCTGCATTTAGTTCACTTTTAATGTGTCTCACTGAGAAGCAACTGGTGTGTTGTTTTTTTTCACTAATTGTTCGGATTGTTTGGTCAAAACACAAACTGAATGAGTCAACACCCAGATATAAAACTTTTTACTAAAAACTAAAAAACATCTGTTTCGAGCAAATGCATTCAGACACGTTTGCACCACGCCTTCCCAGTAGGAAACAGCGACTGACCTAGCATCTAGCAGCGTAAAAACCCACCTTTTCACACGAGCTGGTGGAAACCAAAATGGAGATAAAAGGCCAGCGAACGTATCACCATTATAATACCCATTTTGTTCTGTTCATGATGGATGTGCAGAAAGGCAGCTGTTTGCTAATTTGTTTATCATGTCAGTGTGGCATCTCAGGTTTTTGTTTCTGTGTTTGTTTTGGCGTGTCTCTGCCCCCTAGTGGTTAGAAATCCATCAGTACAGCTTTAAATTTCCACAGAATTCATAATCACTGCTCCTTAACTACATTCATTGATTCTTACAATATTACTGACAACATTTCCTCTTTAGGTCAGAGAAGGTTTGAATAGCTGCTTGATAAATAAGGGCCAGTGCCTTCATTCTGTGCCTCATACCCATTAAACAACTCCTGCCGTTCTTTCCATGGATCTTTCATGGTGTCATTTGTGTTGCATCCATTACCTTTCAGGTGTATTCTGTTCAAGTATAATTGAGAAAGGACTCAATGTAAAATGTATAATTAAGTGTGTAAACCCCATTTCTGTCTCCAGTCTCTGAAGTATTCGTCATAAAACAGTAACTCTGGAATTTGTCTCATTAAATGTTACCTTCAGCGATGCAAAAGTCTGTATGTTGCATGTCAGAACCCATAACAAGTCATGTGAACAATCTGAGAGAAAGGCATAATGTCCAGAAGGAAAACTACTGCAGAGGATTATAAATAACTAATATTTTTTGGTTTAATCAATAATTCTCTCAGCTCTCAGCTTCAACAAGTCTAAGGTGTTGCCGCAAAATGTTGTTTTCTCATCATTTGATACAGTATTGTTTGTGGGATTGTTTGTGTTTGTGAATATGATAATTTACTGCTTTTTTTTCTCCGTTGTTGCCACAACCCCCCTTCCCCCTTTATTTTTCTAAAAAAAAAACAACAAAAAAAACACTTTGTCTGTGTTACAAAAATAGAATATGTAAGTGCTGACTGAAATTAAATGGCAAGTTAATGTACGTTATTAAAATGGATTGATCATGTCTGCTTTATGTACTTGATTATTTAAAAAAAGAAAAAAAGAAAAAAGAAAGATAAAAAAAATAAATAAAAAAAGAGTTACAGTGCCTGGATATTTATGAACTATCTATAGAAAAAAATAAAGATGTGTAGAGCATGTTCATTTTTATACAAGATATTTCTAATAAAAGACTGTTTTGCTAATACTGTGTTGCTTCTTCTTCTTCTTCTTCTTGGGTAAGCATGTTTCATTAACAACAAAAATAAAGTACACATAAATACATATTGTTGACAACATTTGTCACCATTATTAGGGCCGAACAATTTCAAACAATGTAAGAAGTGCATCACAAAGGCTGCAAATAGATATGAGTCCCTGTATGGAGCTCGTCTGACCCAGAGTTTAAACTGTCATGTCAAGTCACAGAATCTGACTTGTGTGACAGTTACACGTTCACTTGTGTCTCATGTGGTAAAGCTACATCACATGTTTTAAATGTGTTGCTCAGTGAATACTGAACTGAAGCCTGCCTTTGAAAACTTATATTGCAAGTCAAAACGCAATATCTGTAAGGAAAAAAATCACAATTAGACATCTATCCAAAATGGCTCAACCATAACCATGATCAATAATCCTTATTACTGTGTTCTCTAAATGAACACCTAAGCTTTAAAAAAGCATGCTATGTTATCTCATTGCTATCAAATGCACAGAAATAATAATGTGGGTTCGAGAGAGGACATATTTAGATTGAGTTGACCATCTATTTTGGCAAGCAACTAATTGTGTAGATGATTTATCAAGCAAAACTCTTAATTTCTCTTATTCTAGCCTCTCCCAGAGAAGTATTTGCTGCTTTAGCGTGTTTGATATCACTGTAAACTAGAATTTTTGACCAAACAAAGCAAGACATTTAAATATATCACCTTAAAATTTTTCAGTTATTTATCTTTCGTATATCCCATGCATGCAGTATGTACCATACGTGTATCTTGTTCAAGAGTAATCAGTGTTCTGTCTTTACATTGAATGAAAAATTCAGGTTACACTATGTGAATGTACCGAGAGACCAGTAGATAATTTATCAACATGATTTATAAAGACTGGAAAGTCACATCCAGATCACACACACACACACGCACAACATCTTATATGGGGATGGCCCAGAGCTAAGACCTGCACTCCCATGAAAGAATCAGGACTTTCAATCCCATAATTTTCACTTCTAAATCATAAAGTCAGGTGATTTGTGAGAGGAGAAGCTGTCCAGGGGGCTGGGGGGGAAAAAAAAAAAAGAAGATTTCACTATAGTATGTCAAGATCTCAAGGTTGAGCTGTGACTTCTTTTTCAGTGTGCTGCCACATCAGTACAACTATCCAGAAACGTGAACACAAGCCAAACGGAGCGTAGAATTACAATCCTGCATGTGTTCTGGATTATGAGCTTCACCAGTAATCAGACAACCCACAACCTCAACCTCGGTTTAATGGCGGATCAATATAGTCAGCTACACCTGCAGCATAAGCCTTGAACAAATTGAGAAAATATCATAGTATCTATAAAAGCTGACAGAATTATGAGCCACTCTAAATGAAAAGTAGATCTTGTGAAACTATCCCGCTGGATTTATTGCGGGTCGGGAATTGCCACCTGGGTGATCACTGATATAGCACTGTCATTAGCCTTCTGTGTTCTGAGTGAATCTCCTGCTCTGTACAATTAGCAAAACAGTGGTATATACAAAATTGCATAGTCTTCTCTTTCTCTGCTGTATAGGAGGCTACCCATGGAGGAAATCTTCATTTTTCAAGTTCTGTCCACCCTGCTGCTACAGTCGCCAAACTACTGCGTTTCTATTTCTGCAGCAAAACAGATCCCTTAATCTGTTGCCTTTTTGTTCTGTGAATGCAAACGTTCTAATTTTCTTACTTTTTTGCCTTTCACGCAGGTGACATTAAGACTAATGGGGAAAAAAAACAACTTGAAAAGAAGCATACTCCAAATCTGAAGTGCATTTGGTCTAATTTTTTGAATTTGTGATGCCTTTAAGACACATGCATATGTACAGTAGCACTTCATTCCAGCATTAAAGGTCCCATTGGGTGGAAAATCTATTTTCATTGTGTTTTGTATGTCTTTAGCACTTGGAGGTATACAATTAAAGGCTGCGAGAACATGAAAACACATATTTCTGACATTCCTCTGACTCCCCTTACCTACAAGACCTCCCAGTTTTACAAGCTGATTAGAATTTTGTTCAGTTAGTAAACTGGGACTGAGGAACAAATAATGGTACAGCTTAAAATTAGTATAATCATACAGCCGAATTGCCAGTTGCTTCTGAGGGGAGCTCTTCAGAATAAGAAAAGCACGGCTGGTGGCTGCAAGAGTGAACACAAGAGCGTTCATGTATTCCCAGCATCTGAGGAACTGAAGATGGAGTGGATGACTTTTATTTATAGTAAAAAAAAGGATCATCCCGAGTGCTATGTTACTGTTAGCTTTGGTTGTATGCTCACAGGTCAAAACTATGTAGAAATTGTAAAGCTGGGCAACATTCAGAGATGGTGGAAACTTTACGACCAATTCCAAACCAGTAAACAAGGACTGATTGGGTTACTGTGCTCTCATGTTGACTGTTGAGCTTCAGTGCAACTTAAACTTTGCTGGTGTTTTCTTCTCTTGTTGAGGATATTTTACACACCCAGATCCTATCCTTCAATAAGATAACAAACACACAGCTGGGTTATTCGTAAATGTATTATCGTTAACAATATGGAGAATGAAATTTCAAACCCTACTCTACATGGGGGGTAGGGACCTCACTCCTCTCTCCACCAAGGAAGAAGTACAAATGCAACAGCTTTTGTAGTGAACAGACAGTCAGAAAGTCCTTTTCATTGGTCAGTATACATAAATATTACCCTGTTATCAGGTTTCATACCATATAAGAACCACTGAGCCCTTCTTTCCCAAACTGAAAACCTCTTCAGGAGTGTAAAAATATCTGCTCTGGTAGACCTTTTCACCCTTTCTTCAACAACTATGCTGCACCACTAGGAAGTTACTTTACTGATAAAAAAAAAAAAAAAATGTATATAAAATAAACGCATAGATAATAAATGATAACCAAAGAGCTCATGACTGATTTTACTTTCACACTTTCCTGCTCCCTGTCCTCACATATAAATGCAGTTTCATACAGTTGAATTTCCAGTAAAGCCGTTTTTGTTGTTAGACATTTTTAGCTGTCAATCTGCACCCCAAAATATGGATTTTAAAACCATAAAGTTGTCTCACAAAGTCGCCAAACCCAGTACAATCTACTGCTTTGACCGGCGCTGTCAATTACAGATGCACTGATGCAGTGAGAGTCTTCTTCCTGAAGGGGGCGCGGGCAGCAAAAAACTCAATGCAAATGTTTTTTTAATTGAATATTGAATAGACGAGTAAATGACTAGGAGCTGTCATTTGCAGATTATTAAAGGCTTCAAAAACGACATATGCTTTATGGTGTTTTATTAGATCCAGAAGTAAAAGCCTGGTAATAATATAGGATCTTGCTACAAAAAAGATTCATGCTTAAGCTTTAATTTAACACAGAGAGAGTCTATATAGATCCTACTGACTTTGTTGGGAAAATTAAAACATGCTAGACTTTTCCTAGATATTTTGTGTTGTCATAGTGAGAACCTCAACCTATTACATTTGTATTAATGAGGCCTTCACTTCACTTTAGGCATCCCAGTGAGGCACGATAAGGAGCGGCACTTAAACTTCTAACAGGACTGAGGCTCTAAACAATGTAATTTTATACACCTGTGATTTTCCTTTCACAATATGTCAGAATGTCTGCTGTGATAATGTTTGCTAAAGTAGGCTGAATTTGCCACGCCATTCCCAGGACTCTTAACACATCATTTATGTACAATATTGTAATTTTTTTAGTCATGGCTGAGGATGAACAGCTCTGCCGTGTAAAATTCCCACCACAGGAAGCAGATTTACTTGTCAAGCAGGTGCAGAGTCGCTGTGACTGCAAGAAGCCCCTCGAACGGTTGATGATGCAAGACGACTTTAGAGGGAAAAAAAAGTAGCCCATAATATAATAAATACAACTCTTAGCTTTTCTCCATGCTGTCTGCACGCCGTCTGATAACCACTTGCCATTGGAGACGCACTGTACATCTGTTAGGAATTGGCGTGACATCATTTGTCATCAGTCACAACAAATTAAACAAATTAGTGGATGCGTGATTGGTGTAACCTGCTGTTTTTTTGAAGGCACAGAAGGAACATTGTTTCATCCAGACAGCTTTGCCAAAGAGTGCAAAGAAAAATATTAGTGTCGTCAGAAAATGCTTTAAGCCAGCTTCCCACGGAAATCAATCACTCTAAGTTTTTTCCTCGAAATGTTTTGATTTTATTCTGGTTATTTTCATATCAGACAGTATTCTCACAACATGTGGGGGCTTTGAAAACGAAAAAATCTGGCAAAGTATTTGTTTGCTCCCGAAGTCACTGCAGTCTTGTTGGCTTTCCTGGCTGAGTCATATTTTTACTTATTTATTAATAAACACAAGACTGATGTCAGGTGTAACGATCAACAAGTGTTGGTTACATATCCTGATTTATACACGAAATAGGCCCTAAACAGTTTATATGGAAGTCACACAGACTCCCTATGCTAAAAGTTGTTTTACTTGTGATATATCATTTCTGTTCCTGCGTTGGGAGACGTTCTGTCTTCACAAAAGCATCTATACTTAAGGCTCCGTAGAGTCATCTTGGTCATGGTTGTCCAAAGAGCTTCAGTACAGGGCAACTGGACTTCTCTTTCCAAGAGGTTTCTTCACTTCTGACTGACTGATGGGGAGTCCCAGATGTATATATGGTTCTCCACACACAACAAAGCTGTGGACGTCAGATCCAGCAACACTCTTGGACAAAAGAAAAACTCACACACAAGCTGTGCAATATTGTCTGCACAGTCCAATGCAGCAAGGAGTGCACAGACCTACATATAGGGAAGACTAAACAACAGATCCACAAACACATGGCTAGACACAGGAGAGCCAGTTCTTCAAAATGAGACCCAGAACTGCACCTGTATCTGATGGAAAAGGGACACTCCTGTGAGAAAAACAGTGTTCATATTCTTTAGTGAGAAGACAGATGATTTAAGAGAGAAGTAAGGAAATC